TAGGCGGGGCAATAAGATCTATTTATTAAAAGAGAAGATAAGTGATCCGATAAACCACTCGTTGAGCTAGAACGTGGTGAGAGAAAGCTCTTAGCCTAGCAATAACTGCCAGAAGTTCAAAAGATAGGACCTGCCCTAGGCTTGACTTATACCTCCCTCTTACTCCCTCTTACATTAATTTTATTAAGAATCAAGGAAATATTCGAATCTAATTTAGGACTAAAAAATCCGTAAAAAATAAAAAATTATTTTTAGCAAACTACGTTTTTAGATGTTGCCAAAGAACGAAAAAAAATCTAAAAATAAGTTTTGCAACACAAAACAAAATTAATTTCCATCAAGCTTTTTTGAGTTAGATAAATGGGTGGTAAGAGACACGAAAGGAAATTTTTTTATTGCAAATCCTACCCCGAGGGAGGCTTTTTTTATTTTATTTTTTAGCCTTTTCGTGCTCTTAGCGCGATAAGAAAAATGGGAAGAAGAGCTAAAAAAAATTCATTTTATGTAAAGCTGAGGACATTCGAAGAAAAAAAATGCCAGAAGCGATGACCCTTTATCCATCCTCTTATAAACATGGAGGGATGTTTTTGGGATGTAAATTGACAGAGGAAATGGAGGAAAACGAAATAATAATAAATAGTAAAAAAATTTTAAAAATTCATTAAAATTGGTGGCAAAAATTCGAAAAAATGTTCTTTCAAAATTTAGAAAAAAAGGGAAAAATTATAAAAAATCCGAGAGAACCGCAACCATATAAGGCATGCTTTCTAAGCAAATTGCTAACATATTTTCTCGTAAAAATACAAAAAAAAATCAAAAAATCCCAAAATTATACATAATAAATATTTAGAAATATTCCCACGCATTTTATTCCCTCAATTTTTCTTCCGGTTGATGAGCAAAAGTAAGGAAAGAATAAAAATAATAATAATAATGGCAGTAAAAGTGTTTATGTACTTAAAGTTTATAGCTTTATATTAATGTTTTTCCTCCGTTTTTAAAAACAAAATTTCCATATGAACGAATAAGCATTTGAAATAATTTGAAGCAAAAATAGGGAAGTTTTAGATGGAATAAATAATGTTTATAGCATCAGAAATAATAATAAAATATTATTAGTATAATTAGGATAATTGTGATTATGCCGGAAGAATCAGAATTAATATATTTTCCGGAAATAAATTAAAAGAAAATATAAATAATACTCCAAAGAATCAGAATAGTTCGTAGCATCAGAATAATATAAGATATAAAAATATACTAATTCTGATTATTCCGGAAGAATCAGAATATATTTTTCCGGAAAGTATAGATAAGATTCAGAGTTATTATTTCCGGAAGTTAATGAGAATATTCCAAAGAATCAGAAAATATAGCAAATAATAATCAGAATAATAATCAGATAATTAAACTTGAGAGTTATTTTTCAGAGTTATTTTTTGGAAGAATAACTTTATATTGTCTAACCTTCAGTATACGAGCATAAATCCAAATAAAAATGCTCAAAACGGCTCCAAGACTCCTTAACACCCTCCGTATTAGCCACGTGATATTTCCATCCGGCAGCCAGTTTATTTACCAAATCCTCGAACCGCAAAAGCAATTTATATTTACACAATTCTGGTGATAATGGCTCTTGATTGTAGTTATTTTTATCATTTTCTTGCTCAGTTTTTGTGTTTTTTAAGGAAGAGGTAGAATTTTTAGGGGAATAGGGTAAATATGATGGAGTATTTTGTGGAGTGAATGAACTCGAAGAAGCAGAATTAGATGAGGAGGAAGAAGAGAAATCACTTGAAGTCATTGAAAGTCGTTTGGATGAGGTCGTATGTGAAGATTGAAGAATTTGGAATATAGCGGGGATCATAAAATATTTTCAAAAAAATTTTCAATGGAAATTATTGATATTTTATAGCTATGAAAACAAATTATTGTTAAAAATTATTTAAAAATAAAAACAAAAAGAATAAAAAAATAAATTTTAGGTACTCAACCATTGTGAAAAATTGCTGTAAATTCCAGCCAACTTTTTATCTATTATTATTTTTATTGTTTTGTTTAATGCAGGTGGACCATAGCCAAAAAAGAAGATAAAAAAGCTATGTACTTGTGGGGCTATAAAAAGCTTTTAAGGGGAAGGCATTAATATTTCCGCCTGCTTCTCTAAGCTAAAAAAGTTGGCTGCTTTGTCTGTCAGTTTTATTTTTTGTTACCTGCCAGGTTTATTTTTCCCAAAAGTTTATACTATTTTTTCCAAGTTTTACTACATAGAATATTAAATTTTCAAGTTATTTCCGGAAAGTAAAAAATAAACTTGAAACGAATCAGAAAATAAATAAGCAGGTATAATTAAATTGAGAGTTATTTTTCAGAGTTATTTCTTTCAAGTTTATTTATTCTGATTTAGACAAGAAATTATACTTAACAGAAACTAAACTTAAGAGAAATTGAAATAAAACCAGAACTCTAAAATTTTTAATTTGTGGGTTATTTCAGATAAATCAGAATTATGAGAAAACTCTGAATATGTATAAACCATAATTATAAAAGAATTCTGAATTTTTAATTATAAATATATAATCAGAATTCTGAAAGAACTCTGCATTTTTAAAACCAGAATTCTAAAAAAATTCTGAATTATAAAATTATAAAATGTAATCAGAATTCTGAATAGAACTGTGAATTATTATAAACCAGAATTCTTTTATAAATCAGAACTCTAAATTTTATAATTCTGATTTATTTTCAGAATTTTTTTTCAGAATATTTTTCAGAATTTATATAATAAAACTTGAAGCAATTTCCCTATTATGTAGGAACTATTGTGTTTTTGTTAAAATTTGTGTTCTGAAACTTTTTTTAAAAAATACATATTCTCATGCAATTTTTTCTCAAAAGTGCACAAAAACAACAATTTAAAGCAATATGTAGTTGGGTTTGGTATTTTATAAAAAAAGCTAAAAAAGAAATCTGAGAGTATATACGGGAATTTAATCTTTCTATAAAGCTCTGCGGGGCACATTTATTTATTTTCAATGTTGACAAAAATATAAAAAATGGGGGAGAAAGAGTTTTATTAGAGGGGTGAAGCGCATGCCGTGGAGTGCTGCAAGTGGTGTGGTTGCCTGGACATTTTTTGGAGAGGAAAGGAAATGAGAAGGCAAAATAATAATGCAAAAGTGAGGCAATAAACTTTAAAAAAAATAAATATATGCTAATATATTGGAGGGTTTATTCAGTTTTTTTGTTTTAAAGTTTGAAGGGACTTGTTGAGAGGGCAGAAAAATTTGTAGAAATATTCAGGAGAGAAATTTAATTTTCGAATTATTTTTTAAATTAAAAAATTATTAAATTAATAGAAGGATATTAATCAGAATAAATAATTTAAAAAATAAATTTCTGAAAAAATACAGTATGAAATGAGAGAATATGCCAAGTATGCCTCTCAGGGAGAGCTTATACAAAAATAAATAAGAGATTCCGGATTGCAAAAATATTCTTAAAAAGGACATTAGCTTTAAAAGACGATCGAAAAAAATAAAAAATAGTACCTCCATTATGAGCATCAATCCTAAGCTCTGCAACACGATTACTGGTTCCTTTACTTGTAGCAGCAGCAACACGAAAAGCATAATTTTGAGAAGGGTCTATATCAAAGATGGCAGTTTGTGATGATACCTAATTATTTGTATTAAGTGTTTTTTTAGAAAGTGTGCTTCATAAACTTGTAGCATTTAGGACAGTAATATGAAGCATGCTTCTATAAGCCTGAAACATCATTAAACTAAGGCATGCTTCTACGGGACTGAGTTTTTAACTGAAACATGAAGCAAGTTTTTGTTTAAACTAAAGTATTCTTTTATCTAAATCATGCTTCTACTATAACGGAGAAGAATGCTTTTGACTAAAGTATGCTTCTATAAGACTGAGTTTTTAACTGAAACATGCTTCTATATGTCTGTAGCACGTATTTATTTAAACTGAAGCATGCCTTTTAAGACTGAACCATGCTTTTAACTAAAGCATGCTTCTATAAAAAAGTAGCATGTTTTTAATTGAAGCATGCCTCTATAAATGTGATACATGTTTTTAATTGAAGCATACTTCTATAAATGTGAAGCATGTTTCTAACTGAATCATTCTTCTATATAACTTAGCTTAATATTAAAAAATTCATCAACTAACATTTCTTTTAATAGAACTAGCCGTAGCACTGTTAAGCTGAATCAGATCAACCTCATAATGAGTTATATTTCCATTCCGATTAGGCCAAGGAGGAGGATCCCAAAGTATTGAAAGCTTGTTTCTGAATATTGTGTAGCGAATATTTAGAGGTTCGGCATCGGGTACTCCAGTAGGTGTAATTAATTGTTCAGTGGCATTCTCGCTAGCACCGACTTCGTTTACGGCTGCAATGTATAGCTGGTATTCTTGGCCATTATCTAAAGAGGAAAATATTTCTAAAAAATTTTCAAGAATTCCAAAACTTTCCTAAATTTTCAGAATTTATTAAAGTAATATTAAGAATTGGGACACTCGTTTTCCATGCAATCTAGTTAAACCAGGCAATTTATTATACGTAGGGCTGCCGGTTAGGAACGAAACGATGTCCCAAGGATTTTTCTGTATGGTCCTTTGATTGTGTTCTTGATAAGATTTTCTTAGAACTGACAACCCTAACTATAAGTAGTTGTTTTTGAGTGATATTTGATGGATCTCCCAATAGCTTTAATTATAGGGAGTCCGGGATTTTGACAGATTTCCCCCAATATTCTATGAATTTTTCTACTAATCTAATAGTTAATGAATTGTTCCCTCTTCTAATAATTAAATTTTCAAATTAAATCATTACATAAATTATTGAGAATGAAAGACAATTCATTGGGAGGTACTTGAGCTCTATGAACCATCTCACTCTGCGTTGACTTCCACCACAAAATGTAATTTTTCAAAGGCAGATTGTATGTATTACTAAATTGAAAATTTTTAAAATTTATGTATTATCCGAAAAATAAAAACTTTGGAGGAAGCCATTCAACTCTAGCCTTGATCGGTTTGAGCTCAGAAACGAGTGAGATTGACTGTGGACGTGGAGGGGAAGGAGCTAAAAATTAATTTAAAATTTTTTTTAATTTTTTAAATTAACGTTTTCCTCCGGTTAGTATTCTACTCTGTTTGGTTAATTGTGAAAGCTCTCCATCCCCTTTCATGTTGAAGGCAGCTACCCGAATGGCATATTCTGTGTTAGGCTCCAAATCGTTTAAATGAGCGTAGAGCTTCTATGAAAATTTTTTGCGAATTTTTAAAATTAAAAAATTTTTTTGAATTTTTTAAATTAAAATTTGGAGATTTATAAATATCATAAACTCGAAAAATTCCTTAGAAAAATTTTTACAAGCTTACATGTCGATCAACAATAGCTATAGCCCTCCGTAGATTATTAACAAAAGCTTCATTCACAATTTGAAACTAAAAAACATTAAAAAATATTTTTAGTTAAAATTTTTATAATTGAAGCTCTTTTAGCTCACGGTCCCGAATATTTATCCTCAAATTCAAATACATGAATCTATAACCAGATACAGTATATATCCTAATAGGAGCCCAAGTTTCTATTACATATCCAGTAGGCTACAAAATTGAAGGTCCAGTATTCTCCAATCCAGTAGGCTCCAAAATTGTGGGGCTTCTACTGGGTAATAGTTTAGTATATTGATAATTGTTAAATATTCAAAAATTGTTCTCAATGAAGGATTAATGCCACAATCCTCATTTTTATTAATTTAAAAATTTCAGTTTAGCTCTTAAAAATTAATTTTTTAATAAATTTTGACCCTAAACTATTCGGGAAAAAAAGTAAATAAATTTAGATATTTCCTCTTAATAAAAATCAAAAACCTTATAAACATTATATCCAAATACTTCAGCAGACTCATCATCAGGAGGCTGCCAAGTGACCTTAACAGTTGAGCTGTTCATCTGTGTAACGTGGACATTACGAGGGGGTGGTGGGACTTTAAATTTTATTTTTTTTATTCCAAAATTTTTTTAAATAACAACCATGGTCTGAATAGGCATTCACTAATTTATTATTGCCAAATAGAAAAATAAATATTAAAATATTAATTAAATATCGAGGCACATAATTAAATAATTTGCAAAAATGCATCCTTTTTAGTTGAAATAATTTTAATTTAATTTTTGGGAAATATTTGTAATAATTAAAATTATTATTATAATTAATGTTGATCTGATATTTTAAATTTAATGAGTTTTTTTTTGTTGAAAATTTTTCGTTACTAGTACTAGGTGTATTAGTAGCTGCTTCCATTTTAATAAATATTTGCTAATAATATTAAATAATTATTCTGTATTTTAATTATTTAAATAAATTCTTAGACGAGATATAAATTCCGTAAAAGTTATAATGTAAGTATAACTAAAATCAGCATTAAGTTTCCGGAAATAGAATATGTATTAATAAAAAGATAGTTCAGGATAATTAGGATTATTCTGATAAATAAACAAAAAACGAGAATTCAATATAACTATAGTATTTCCGGAGAAAGTATAATATAATTACGGAAATATATATTTATAGTTTCCGGAAAATATAATAATAGCAAAAATAGAATTCCGGAAAATATAAAGATAACTATAGTTAAAGAAACTTTCCGGAAGAGAAATAAAAGAGAAATAAATCAGGAAACTTTACTTCCGGAAATTATAGTTATTTATAAATTATAGTTATTTTTTTCACTATACAAATATAACAATACATTTAATATTAATTTTATTTTTGGTCTCAAACATGGTTATAAAAATAAAGAAAAAATATTTATTAATTAGATGTGTGTCCCCAACGCTTTGTTATTTATGGATACGAAGCGGGTGACATATTAGCTGGTCTTGCAAATGCATTAACTATACAGCCTCCTCTCTCATTTTTAATTTTTCCCAGCATTCCAATTTGGAGTGTGGCCGTTTTTTGTTAAATTTTTATTTTTATTTCATCCCTCGAGGCTTGTTGACAATTTGAGGAATTAGGCTGGACAAAGGCTTAAAGGGAATATAAAGACAATGCTTGGGTAGATTGGCTGCCGGAATTTTATTTAATAATATTTAAGGGACTTAAATTTATTTTTATCTCAGGTGTCACTTTTAGTCGTTTTTAAAATAAATAAAAATAGAACGTGATAAACGATCCCTTAAGCAAATAAATTTAAAAAAGGAAAGGTTTAAGGTTATTTATTTTTAGTAATATTTCCCTCTTATTTATGGCCTTTTGTTAGCCTAAAAAAGTACTATGGTTGTTGGCGCAGTGCCCAAAAATGCTGCCAGGCTGGCAGGAAAAATGGTCAAGAGTTGAGAGTGGATATAAAGGGAAAGGAAGGAAAATACTTGAAATTTTATTTTTTTTATTTTCGGAAAAATTTTGAAAAATTGAAAATTAATTTTTAACAAAAGAAAAAATCCATTGAAAAAAAAGAACGACCGGAATAAATCCGGAAGAGCCTATTTGAGCCTATTTATAGCCTTCCGGTTTTTTCCTATATTTAGTTAAACGAATAATATTCTCGTAAGTATGGATTAAAAATCTGTCTGTAAATAAATTTAAAAATAAAAAATTATTACGGACAAAGGGGTGGCAATTGTAGGGTCTATACTATGCTAAGCGCTGGTACACTATGTGAGCTATGTGCACATATAAATCGATGGTAGAGTATAGTGGGAAGCATTGGGGGAAGAATTGAAACTGCTGAAGAGTTGCTCGACCATGGCAGTTGTGGTGGGGGAAGGGATGAATGGACGAAGGCCGAGGGAAGGAAGAAATTTTGGGGATTAGTCAGCTCCGTAGAGTCTAGACTCTACAACAGACAAAACAATTTATTCAATAATTGCCCTAAAAAATTCTAGCCAAAAATTTTAACGATTTTCAGTTTTTAGTTAAAATATTGAAAATGAGTGTAAATACACATTGGCTTTGGAATCCAGAAGATTTGGAAAATACACCTTCAGTTCAGGCCGGTATATCCATGGCAGAAGAAAATAAATTGAGAAGAGAAGGTGTAAGGATGATTAAAGAAATGGGAAAATCTATTAATTTGTTAGTTGATAAATAATAATTTTCAAAAATTAAAAAAAAATTTCTCTAGAAAAACAAATCCAACTTTAGCCACTGCAAGTGTATTCTTTCACAGATTTTACATGTTCAACACGTTTGCTGATTATCCCCCACACGTAACTATTATATAATTATATTTAACAAGCTTAGCGTGATAATAATTATAGACTATTTCCGGAAAAAATATAATTATGAAAATATAGATATTTTATTTTTAATTATCTTCAGAATACATATCATCTCCGGAATATTATCTATTTACCGAAAATATATTTTCTATTTATATTTCTATTCCTTTAAATATTTATCGGAAAATATAAAATTCTGAAATTATATATTTTATTTGTTATTATTTCCGGATTTTTATTTATAATTATAGTTATTTTCCGGAAGTAGTTATACACTAATTTCCGGAAACTATATAAGTATAACTTATAATAATTCCGGAAAATATAATAATTATTTTCCGGAATATATATACTAATTTTCCTTAAAGCATATACTTCCAATTCTATAATAATAATTCCTGAAAATATACTTATAATTTTATGGAAAGTAGTAGCAAAGAGTTAACTTTTCCGGAAAATAATAATATACTACATTATTAATAATATAATTTCCGGATATCATATTTCCGGAAATTATCATATTTTTTACTAGATGATGGGATTAGCCTGTCTTTTTCTTGCTGGAAAAGTAGAAGAAACACCTAAAAAGTGTAAAGATCTCGTTCAAACTGCTAAAGATAAATATCCGAAACAATTTGCTGGGAAGAATTTAATGGTTTATTAAATCTCGAATTTCTCTTTAAATTTAACTATTTTTGAATAGGATGAATTAATTCTTCTTGAACGAATTTTGCTACAAACGATACGTTTTGATCTTCATGTTGAACACCCCGTGAGACCTTCCAATTTCCAATATTTTCTCATTAATTAACTATTTTTTAGTACAATTTTTTGGTCCAATATGCTAAGGGATTTAAGCTCGATAAAGATTATATGAGCAAAATTGTGGTATTTTTAATTTCCAAAAATCCAAGAAAATCCAAAAATTCAGACTAATGCTTGGACGTTTATTAACGATTCATTAGCTACTAATCTTTGTTTATTGTGGGAACCCGAAGTTATTGCTGTTGCGCTCCTCTATATGTCTTTTAAAATGGCCAGAATGGGAGAGGGCCCAGAAGGGGAGGCGAAAATGGGTGCGGATACGGAGTGGTGGGATATTGTGAGTTGCATCAGATTTCTGATGGGATCTATTAATTAAATATATTTAAAAGTATGTGCAAAATTTAACTGTCCCAATGATGGAGGATATTTGTCATAAGGTATTTAAATATTAAAATTATTAGATATAATCAAGTTATTCGGTATAATCAGAATAACTGAATATAACGAGAGGTGTATTTTCCGGAATATAACTATTCGTATAATCAGAATTTTAACTACTTCTGAGATATACTTATTATCCGGAAATTATAATTCTTTTCCGGATCAGAATATAGCGATAGCTATAAATTTCAGAAAATAGTAACATATTGTATTTTCCGGAAACATTAATATTGGGAAGCCCTTTTTCCGGAAAACATTATTATTTCAATTAAACATTTTCCGGAAAATACAATTATCCAATAAATATGTTTATTCTGATTATTTTTAATCTCAAAATTTTAAAAATATTATTCTGAAAAATAATTTTGTTTTTAGGTGCTAGATTGTCTCAGTACGGACGAAACAAGCAATTCAACCTAACCAAATTTGATAATTAATCTGTTGTTTTTCTCTAAATTCTCTAATCATTGTTTTTTTTAGTAATCTAATTTTCTAACTGTTTTGTTCTTAAATTTTAAATAAAAATTAAATTTTTCCAAAAAAGATTTTTCAATAGGTTTCGAACACCTCTCCTTATTAGCTTTTTAAGTATCATGAACTACACTCCTCCACAAAATTATACTAGTTCTGTTCGATCCGATTTCTATGTAAAAATTTGTTTTGATCTTTATGTTAAGCCGAATGCTTGGACTTTTATTAATAATTAATTAGCTTGATAGGGATTATATGATTTAAAAATACGCCAGATTTCTTCTTTTTACAATACTAATCCATTTTATGTTTCTTTTAAACATATACTGGCAAGATTTTTATAAAAGAATGCTTAATTTTATCAAAAAAATTAATGAATAACTTGCGAATGATATCAATTAGCTACATTAATTCTCATAATATAATATTTATTTTGATTTATCCATTATTTTGATTAGGTCAAGGTCAACGAGGGCATCATATTTGCATAGATAATGATAGCAGAAATAACTACCTTTACTTTTCTATAAGGAATATGTGGGCAGGAATAAGTTTAGTGTTGAAAGGTGATTCTTATCAGCACTTATAAATGTATATTAATAGAAAATTATTTATTAATATTCTTATTCCTGATAGAAATACTATGTACCTAATTTTCTATTCTTACAAAATTATCTAAAAATTTATCACCTCGCTAACGATATCTCCCAGAAACTTAAAATTTAATTTTACTTATATTTAGTTTAATAATGAATCTTATTGTCCGTATAACGATTTTATTAATAATTTCTATAATATTGACTATTATCGTTCATGCAAGGAATATTGCTACAAATAAAATAACATCTGGTTTGAAAACTAGAGCGACACTAAATAAATTGGTAAAACTAATTGATACAAGGATACTAGCATTAGATAAGCTAATTATAGAGAGTATAGGTCTAGTCTACGGATTCAGATTAGTCTACGGAATTCCATTTATAATGTTAAAAATTCTTAGTGCAACAACACATTAGAAGACGACGAATACTACGCCAACCAATGTGATGGTGCTGTATATTCTGCGATTTTTAGTGCGAGCAGCACCTGTGATATATACCATAACGCGACTAAATTACATCCTATCGAGACCGAATTATGTGAACGATACTTTAACAGCAGGGATTATATAAAGAGTTGTAAAGCCTCTTTAGAGTAGAAATAATTTTGAGATGCCTGTGTCATCCAAATAAAAAATGTTGTACGCACACTGCAAATACTGTTATGGCTGCTGTAGAGCCTTACTGCAAAATATTTTCTTCTAATATTTTTAACAATGTGAAAGAGATATGCAGTGATAATAAACTATGTGAATCTATTAATAAAGTGGATGTGAAGAAAGCTAGAAAAGATTGCTACGACGCTTTTGGAATTCCTGTGTCGGAAGATGCTGTTCCGTTTGAAATTTTTAAGGCGTGAAAGTAAGAAAGTTATTAAATCTTTATAAAATTATTATCAAAATTGTCTAAATCACTCTAACTTGTCTCCACTCAGAGCAGATTTTACTCTTCTTTAGTCCTTAATTTGTATTTTACGTGGGATTTCGAATTTTAGAGATATTTAGATCTACAATTCTAGTGATCCAGAACCCCATCAATGTTAACGAATCCGAAAGTAACCACCAAATTCATTAAATAAAAATGGGGACTAGGGTTGGACCCGAATCCTGAGGGCACGCTTTTCGGGGAGCATTGGAGTTATTATTAATAACTAATTTACCAACAATATAATTAATTCTATTAATAATTATTATTTTAGATCTCAACTTTAAAATTTGCAATATCTCTGCTTTATAATTAAAGAATAACTGTCATTATAAAAATAACACAGATAAATTAATAATATTTTATTTTAAATGTAAAATATTTAATAAATTTAAATAATTTTAAATATATTAAATCTCTTGATAAAATTTTTAATTTAATTTTCGGAGACCATAAGGCTAGAATTCGTCTATTTACTAAATATGATTAACTTTTTTAAAAAGTATAGAGATAGGGATAGAGTTAACAGGTTTCTTTCAAGTCTTGAGTCAATTTATTTCATCTTTTCCGAGCTTGGGTCGAGTCGAGTCCGAGCTCAGGTTTTTTCGTGTTGGGCGGCAAGCCTACTCAGGTTAGAGTTCTGATTTTTCGAACAGAATATTAAACCAAAAATTCTAAAACTTGGAATCTGTTAGAAAACACTCTAAAGAATACTTATTAATTAGGATAATAAATATTTTTTTAAATAAAAATGTAAAATATGGATGAAAAAATGTGGCTAATTAATGCGAGACCTAATACAACTTAAAAACATTCATAAAAGACTTTAAAAATATTTTAAAATATTCAGAAACGTGATATTTCTTAAACCTTGACCTACCTTGTTTATCATAAAATAAAATATAGTATCCGACCTAAACTAAAATTCTACCAATTTTTATTACTCTCAATGGCGCAGCCCCACACAACTTTTTCAATTCATAACAAGAACTATTAATTGACATAAAAAAATTTTTCCGCTTTTTTCGTTCCTTATCTATATTTATTTTTCATTTCTTTAATGTTTTGGTTCACCTATATTTTTATATGCCAAATTTGTTGTCTATTTATTTTAGTAAAAATCGACTTTGACCTTTGATAAGGTTTAAGTTAATAAATAAATTAAGATTCTAGATGGTCATTTTAAAAAATTAAAAACGGATTTATTATATGTAGTCCCTGTGATTTCTTTAAAACTCTTTTAAAACCTTTCCATCAATTCAGGAAATATTTCGAACCACAACTCCTGGTAATATTCAGAAATACTTGTTAAATCATGATATTATCTATTAAATCAGATACTTTAAATAATACGGCCCCCTCAATTGTTTTTTATATATTGAAGTATCTTTCCATTAGAAGAGGATTTATAAATAGTACTATTAGAGGAAATAAGGTAATTTATTAAATCCGTTAGCTTCCGGATGGTCATTTAAAAAATTAAGATTAGATTAGATTCAGATGATTTATTATGGTACCTGCCAAAATACTTTAAAATCGTTCTTAGACCTTTCCATTAGAGATCGATCGGAAACGAATAAGTGCCGTAAAAGGAACTGGCTCAAAAGCCGGAACTCGCACGTCGAAAATCTGAATTCTGATCGACCTCTGCTTTCCATCAATTCTAAATAATATTTCAGAACATGCCCCTTGATAATATCAAAAATGCCAGTTAAATCAAGATATAATTTACTAACTCAGTATAATAGGGAGATTACCGTATATTTTCGATAAATGATATTTATTTCATAAATTTAGTTATTAAATAAAAATTTAAAGACTTTGGATTTATTTGAATAAGCAAGGACGAAGTCTAATTTTCTAATAATTTAATTAATTAATGGTATTTATTTCAATTTTTTGATTTAGAAACTTTCAAAATTTGATCTAGATTATACAAAAATTCCATAAACTAACAATTTAATTTCAAAAAATGTTTTCTTTTTTACGTCTCATATTTTCTTTCCGACCTTTAACATTTATTTTTACATTGATTTTACGTGTTTTTAAATTTTTATTGTCGCCGATAGTTGGAAAAAGTAAATCAAGTGAGTAATAATCTTTAAAATTGAATTATTATTAAAGTAAAGTGAGAGTTTAGAAAATTATTACTAGGAAAGTGTCAAGGCTAAAAAATTTAGGTAGCAGGGAGTATTTAGCAGGTCTCTAAAGCCTCTCAAGCAGGATGTCCATAAAGTTCCTAGAAAGAGTATATAGCACGGTTGGGGTCAGTTGAGCGCGGCCGGTTGAGCCCCGCCAGTTGAGACCGGGCGGTTGAGACCGAGGACAGTTGAGCGCGGGCCGGTTGAGACCGGGCCAGTTGAGCGCGGCCAGTTGAGCGCCCCTTGTTAACTGGCCAGTTGAGCGCGAAACGGGGAATGTTGTTCCAAAGACAGGGGAAGTTGTTCAAATGACGGGTGATGTTGTTCCAAGGACGGGGGATATTGTTCCAAGGACGGGGGAAGTTGTTCCAAGGACGGGTGATGTTGATCCAAGGACGGGTGATGTTGTTCCAAGGACGGGGGATGTTGTTCCAAGGACGGGGGAAGTTGTTCAAATGACGGGGAATGTTGGTATACAGACGAATCGAATGGTATATAGTCTGAGTTCCGATCCCGGTGGACCTATACTAAAGCGAGAACAACTTCTCCAATATTCGGACCAAATTCACTTGTTTCTCGAACGGGGGAATGTGTTGTTTCATTTTGACTTATGTTCCGAACATGAATCAAGGTGTTCCAAACATGAGTAAACAGTTTGCCAGAGGTTTATCAGTGTAAAAATATACTGGCGCTCAACTGGCCAGTTAACAAGGGGCGCTCAACTGGCCGCGCTCAACTGGCCCGGTCTCAACCGGCCCGCGCTCAACTGTCCTCGGTCTCAACCGCCCGGTCTCAACTGGCGGGGCTCAACCGGCCGGTCTCAACAGGCCCGTTCCGATATAGCAAGCTATACCAGCTGAAATGAATCGAGGGACCTGCTGGACAATCCTTGCTTTACAGTTCTTTGGCAGGCCTTTCTAGCTGGACATCCTTCCTAAATTAAGTACCAGATCGCTTTATTCCTTTTCTTTTCTCTCTTATAAATCTTTACACCGTCTTTCATTGTATACTGCCAGATGAATCGTTAGTTTCAAACCATTATTTTAAATAAAATCAACTCAATTTAATATTGATTTTGATCGGCTGACTGAAGTAAAATTCAGCAAATTTCTAGTAAGGTTTTTATCATTTAGTTTTTATAATTATCATTCCATTATCTCTTTTTTTCATTCTTATACTTAATTTAACTATCTATTATTTTTTATAAACGGTTTAAATTATTTTTTCTCGTATGACACCAGTTAGTTCTCTGCCATCAAGTAATTTTTTGAAAAAATCATAGAGTGCCATTTCTAAAAGCTTATCTTTAGCTACCTTATTTTCAAGCTTAAACCTGGATCTAAACTGCTAAGAATTTTTCCCAAAAGTTTAATCCGGAGAGAAGACTCCTAGAATTTCTTAAATGCCAGGAATTTCTCTCCAAATGAAGTATAGACTGTACAAATTTTAAAAAACTGTCCTACAATTAAGCCAAAATTAGACCTATTTTTATCAAAATTATTCCAGCTGGAAGCACCCGAACCGGCTCGACATCGTCAATTTCCACTACAAACTCGTCCTACAAATCTCGCCAACCGCGCAACTCTATAGTCGAACAGGAGTCGATTTACGATGAATACAACATATCTTGTGAACAATTTCTGTCTGTAAATGTTGTCACTTTGCACCAACAACAACAAAGTTCTTATAACAATTATTCAAGTGGGACTAATTTTAGTGCAACTCGTGCTTGGATTGATGGGAAGGAATGGTAGACTTTTCCGGAAATTATGAAATTATTTTAGTAATAAAGAGATAACCAAGTTTATAAACTGACCAGGGATCTGGAATTCTAAATTGAATTATTTTATAATTCCGGACATTCGATACCCTCCAATTATCTCCAAGCATTTCTCTTGCTTTTCCTTATTTTTTTTATAAATTTTATTTACTGTAGAGTCTGAGGGTCTTATGGACTTATTTGGTTATCCAATAAAAATCTTTCTAGTAACCAACTCCTAACCGAAGATCCTCAGTATTCAGTTTGGATTCTAATTTACAAGAAATAATAAGAGTAAGTAAAATACGGGTAAATGAACTGATAGTACTGTACATTCTGTCGGGAATAGGGTTGGGAGCCCGGCCCGGTTCGACCGAAAGATCGAGTCGGGCATCGAATTTTGGCCAGAAAACATGACTCGAAAAAACCCCAACCCTAGGAAGATTATAATTCCTGATCCTCTATTATAATTTTGGAATGTTTACTATAATTATAATCATTTAATTAAGGGAATTCTCCGTTATAACTAAGAATAATCAGCACATACTTAGACTGACACTATTAGAGCTAGATTGGCATTGTGTTTCTGTAGATGCCGAAGTTTGCTTTTGGCAGTGGCACAGAGGGAAACAAATTCAGATTTTACAAGTAAAAACAGACGCAAAGATTTTCAAAAATTTCTAAAAATTTTCTAGAGAGGGGCCAAATGCTTCCAACAGCCCGACAGTTATGTTCAATTCCAGCCCAATACTGGCAATAATTACAGTAGCAATTGCCCTTCAGACGGGCATTTTTACGTTCTGATACGCTTGCTAGAACGTCGCCAACGTTTGGAAAAGTTGGAATAAATTTGAGATTTTTCCTTTAAAAATTTTCTCCCCTTTAACTTCAAGCTTCGGAAATATCCCCGTTGATGAATCAGAGTGCATTAATCTTACAGTTGGCACCGATTCCTTCACAGTTTCAAAGCACTATTTAATGTCCCTCTCTCCTGTCTTTCAAAAAATGTTTAAAAACAATGAACAGGACGAGCAGGAAGGGGAACATAAGAAAGAAGAACATCAACAAAAAGAGGTTTTGGTGGATGAAGCGAGTCCTGAAGCAATGAAACAATTTTTGGAAGCTATTTCACCCAAGCAAGTACATCCAAATCGTAAGCGTACTTATTTTTCTAGAAGGAGCATATTTTAAGGAAAGGATGGAAATAGGTAATTTTTAGGAGTATAATACCTGAATTAATTGTAATTTAAACTATAATTAATTATAATCATTATAGTTTTTGGACAATTCCCCTGGCTAATTATGCTAGAGGGAGGAATTAGAGGTTCATTTGAGGGAGGAATTAGAGGTTCATTTGAGGGAGTCTTTAGAGTGGCATTAGAGGGGCATTTGAGGGAGGCATTAGAGGGGCATTCAAGGGAGGCATTGAGTGGCATTTGAGGGAGAGGGGCATCTGGGCATTAAAGCATTGAGCATTACCTCCTCTAATTTGAGGTAATGCTCAAATCATTTGATTGAGGGAGGCATTTGAGGAAGGCAATTATTATTTCGACCTCTCACTGGGGTGGGTAATTAAGGTAATTATTTCAGGAAGGGCAATTGATAAGACTTAATAAGGCTATTTAATTTTCAATAATTATAGCCAACAACGTCTATCAACTCCTCAAACTTGCAAACCGATTCCAAGTCGATTTTCTTCGAAAAAAATGTGAGGCTCATTTAATCCATTGTGTTGAGATGCCTCTAATGGAAAGACTAATTTATGCAGATGCTTATCATTTGGATAAGTTGAAGGTTTTTTGTCAAAAAATCTCAGAAAAAATTATTTTTGAAGAATTATATCCTCAAAAGTTTGAGTGGTGCAGGTCTAAGAGAATTTTACGATGAGAATCAATCAGCAATGCATTTGTTGGGCATGGAGTTGTTAATTCAACTGACACAAAGGATATGTTCAAGGTGTGCAAATAGGAAAAGGGGTGATTATTTTAGAGCGAAAAATGTTGTCCGGAAATGGAATAATTTTTTAATAATTTTGGAAAAAAATCCAAAAAACTTAAGCAAACTGTACTTTATAAAAAAGTAATATCGGCAAACAATTTACCTATTTTCGGAAAACAATAAAACTCTAAAAACTTTAATTAATACATTTTATTATAATTTAAATTGATCTTTAAAAATTAGTGTAAAAAGGATGGAACGGATCTCTCTCTGCCAGAATTGTCAGAAGAATGTGGTTCGAGAATGATTGGAATTTTGAAAATTATGAGACAAATTCAATGACCTCTCTTTTATTTACAGTCGTCGACATAAAGATAGGGACAAGAGTAATTTAAATGCAAATTAACTATTTTTCAGTCAAAAAATACGTTCTATATATCAATCGAAAGCTCTATTCGTATCTCAGTTGACATGTTTCTGCATTTTTCATGAAAATGAAAATTGGCCGAGATAATCCGGATCTGCCGGATATACCAAATCCCACAGCCTCGGAAAAAATTTTCGGAAAAAATCTAACAAACCCATTTGATAAAGCATATTTTTCTGAGTATATACCACAAAACCGCTTAGAAATATCTCTTTCCGGACCAGAGATATGATTTTTTGAAAATGGCATTTTTCGCTTAAAAATTGAATTTTTTGCAAAAATAGACGAAAAATGCCATTTTCAAAAAATCATATCTCTGGTCCGGAAAGAGATATTTTTAAGCGGTTTTGTGGTATATACTCACAAAAATTTGCTTTATCAAATGGGTTTGTTAGATTTTTTCCGAAAATTTTTTCCGAGGATATAGGATTTGGTATATCCGGTAGATCCGGATTATCTCGGTCAATTTTCAATTTCATGAAAAATGCAGAAACATGTCAACTGAGATACGAATAGAGCTTTCGATTGATATATAGAACGTATTTTTTGACTGAAAAATAGTTAATTTGCATTTAAATTACTCTTGTCCCTATCTTTATGTCCACTACTGTATCTATTTAATTGAGCAATAAAAATAATTTTTTGAAATTTGATTCTTTAATGAAACAGTTGCTTAAAGCTAGCGATGGATTTTTGCTTAAAATTTCTGTATTATTATCAGCATTAATTGAGAGTAGGGTTCCAACGGAACTGAAATTTTGACTAGAGCCGGAACCGGATCCAATTTGAGTTCCGGTTTTCGGAACCAAAATAACTTCGGAACTTTCCGGAACCGGAACTTCCACTGAAACCCTAGTTGAGCAGCTATATAATTTATCTTTGGGTTAGTCACCAAACAAATTTTGTAAATTATCTGGGTATTAAAGTAATACTGTTTACGGTGTAGTGTGACACTTGGAAATGGACCTTTGCTTAATAATTTTTTATTAAGTTAATGTTTTTTTTAAAAGTAAATAAAAAATTTTAAATTTTTTAACAAATAAATTAAAGCCTTAAGAAAAAAATAAATTAAAAATGCGTTACATTTTTTAATAAGCTCAGTCCATATCTCTCATCATTCCATATATCTATCTCCTTTCATATTGTCCAAGAAAAACAATTCTTCCTCTTCATCTTCATCTTCATCTTCATCACTGTCATAACGCTCTTGGACTTTATTGCCTTAAATTTAAAATTAAAGGCAAAAAATTGTTCAGAAACCTCTCTTCGCATATAATCGTTCACCGTTTGTAGATGATGATGACCCACTCTCGTTTCGATCCCCTCGACTTTGGAATAACCCGGAACTTGCATATTTATCCAATATATGTTGTGGCACTATTGGAGTTTTAAGAAAACAATTAATGTTGATTTTACCGGTAGTCTTTTTAGATGTCGGCAGATCAGGTGGAAAAATACCCTAAAAAAGATTCTGAGTTGACTTGAAAAATTAGGACTGCCCTTAATCCATAGAGCCAAAAATCCATTAATCCGCCCCATGCTAAATTAGAGCCCCACCCTAAAATAAAGCCCCACTTTGGAGGATAACTGAAATATGAACCCCTGGGGCTTTATTTTAGGAAATACGGTAGCTACCTTTTTCCCTCCTCGGACAGAAGAGTTTTCCTCAACATTTGCAGCACACTCACAATCTCTATCCAAATTCTCATCATTTTTCTTCATTTTTTTAAGAGGTGGATGCATAAAACGACAAGCATCCCCCTTTCGGCACTCTCTATTAATAAACCAATGTTTGCAAATAACATTTAGCTTGCTAGTGTCATCACGATCACTGGAAATTTTTTACAAATTTTTATTAAAATTCAAGAAAAAACTAAAGGTCTACAAGTTTAAAACGAGAAAGGAAACACTCGATTATAAAATTATTTTACATTAAACGGAATCTGACTTCTCCCATGCTCCCTATAAATATCTCCCATTCTCCTTGTAAGACCCTATTCAATTAAGGTCCAGATATTTTTAAATATTTAAAACAAAATTATCTTTTACCCGTCTAGAAGTTCCTCTATCCCATGTGCAAACTTACAAGCAAAACCACGCGGGCAGTATCCTTTATGAAGCCATGTAGTGCACAGACTTACATAATTTAAAAACATTAGTTTATTTTAATTTTTTCGTTATATCTCTCTTTTCAAGGATACAACCTCTGAAGGCTAAAGGGTACTTTTTTCTACACTGACTTGAACGAAGAAATGAGCGAAAAATATTTTTCCAAATATTCTTAACTTTCCAAGCAAAAATTTTCTTTTACCCATCATGTAGCTCATCCATCCCGTGTGCATACATGCAAGCAAATCCACGCGGACAATACCCTTTAAGAATCCAACTATTGCACAGTCTAAGTTTAATAGAATTTGGCTTAATTGTTCCGTTCTTCGTGTAACTCATCTTGTTAAGTACAGTTGAGAGGAATCGGGATTCCGACGTAAATTGGGAGTAGTTAACCCGGCATTTCCCTTTGATACGGTCCGGGGAGGGTAACTACTATTGGGAGAGGGATTCAAAAAGACCGAGATAATCCCTCCCGGGATCCCGCCCGATTGAGATCTCGATACCGCTATATCATCCGCCGATACCGCTCAACCCTATTAATAAGCCAAAAAATAAATTAGATTAAAGAAAAATTTATTTTAAAAATTGGAAGAAATTTTTAAAAAAATAGGAGAAAGCAAAATGAATTAGCATTATAAACACTAAAATATATTCAACCAAAGGTCGTCCAACCTAACTTAAAAGAATAAAGATGGTTTAAAAATAAAGCGGCTGGTAAGAGAAAAGTTGCTTTTTTTGTTCAGAAAGATGTTCTTATCTCCTTTCTTTGATCAACAAAAATGTGTAATAAAGAATTTTAGAAGGGACTAAAAATCGACCTTTTTATTTTTTTTAAACAATTAAACATTATTTTTATTAATTTATTATTTTAATTTGAAAAAATTATCATTTTTACATTTATTCCTAAGGCCATGAAGTAGACGGCGTAGTGTAACGTAACTGAAGACTATCAACAACACTATCAATTTTTTAACAATTCAAAATAGAATTCTCTTTTACCTATGTTAAATTCTTCTGTTCGTGTAACAGGTCCACAAACAAGTCCTTTACGACTCCCTTAATTAATTTCGATGCGATTACTGATAGTCCGAATTATACTTACTTTTTTAATATTTTCTTTTTTTATTTTAATCCGTTTAAAATGAACTTTAATAAAAATTGAAGCTGATATTAATTTTCCAAAAAAATTTTTCAAAAAACTTTTCAAAAATTTAAATGATTCACTAAAGGTCAAATAAACATTAAATTTAATATTTATTAGCATGAAACTTTAAATGTTAAACTAAAATTATTTTTAAAAATTTGCTTAAAAATGTGACTAAATTGAAGGAATTAACTGAGTAATATACAAAAATGCTTAAATTTAATACTTTAAACTTTGCAAGGTTGACAAATAAAGTTTAATAAAAATATTAATAATAAGCGTTTCCATGGCCTTCTAAGACCTATATAAATCCAGAAAATATTTTTAAAATTAAAATAAATTTTTCAAAGACCTTTAAACCCCCAAAAAATGTCCCAAAATTATTCTATAATTTCCATCATCTCCTTATGGGTATTTATTAGTATGCCTCTATTTTTAGAGGCAGAGATGTTTGATGGTAATGTTGGGGCTCCGCGAAGGATTGAAGAGAGCTTTTTGCGAGATGATGAAAATGCGACGGTAAATGATAATTATTTTTTAAATTATCAGACTTGGTAATGGACATGGATTTTGGTATCCGTATCCGGATATTTACGGCGGATACAGACAGATATCCGCAGGCATTTTGAACTTATCTGTAGACATGTCCGCATCCATTACTAAGCCTGTTTTAGATTATTTTTTAATGAACAAAATTTTTGAATAAATTAGAAGTGCAAACCAGCACTACCTTGCTCTGAAGATAAGGAGTGTGGGGATGGTGGAACATGCGGAGGCCCTACTAGAAAATGCCAATGCCGCTGCATAGAGAAGACATTATGTAAAATTTATTAAAGAATGATAAAATATTTGGGTGGTATGCTTAGTTCAATTTTACCAAAATTTTTGCTAAGAAAAATCAAAAAATAAATTTCCTTCAGGTAAAACTCCAGGGCTAACCCAATTAACTAATACATTGGTTAACGGTAAAGTGAAGCCTTGTGGTGGCCTTAAAAATGCCTGCGATGAAAAGACAAATAAGTGTGAATGCGATAAAGCCTACAAAGAGGCTGGATACAAGAGTACTAGCGATGCATTTGGAAAAGTATGTGTTGCTCATACGTGTAAAAATGTGAGTAAAATATAAGTTATTTAACTTATGGGATTAAATTTTTTAAACTTTCCAAAAATTATAAAATCCACTGGGGGAGCCAGACATAGTAGAACGGACATATTGGGATATTTCAATGTGCGAACAGCACCTCTAATGGTCTCACGACCTACGATCACTGGGTCACGATGTTTCCGTCCCGCTAGGTCTCCCTAACTCTATCGGAACATATAAACATTCCAGAAAATATTTTAACTTAAAAATAATTTTTCAATAAATTTTTTAGGATGATGATTGCCATGGACAGACTTGTCTTCCTGGATTTTGCCAATGCCCGAAATAAAAGAATAAAAATTAAAATATAATTTATAGATAAAATTTTAATTTATTTAATCATATTAAATAAATATGTTCAATTTTTCTGATTCTTATCAAATTTATTTTTTGGATTTCTGAAAATCCTAAGGTAAAAATTAGAAATGAAATCAAATTAATTTAATTATGTATATCGAGAGAAATTTTTACATTAATAGAGTAAAGAATATGTTTTTCTGAATTATAAAAGTCCAAGCTCCGGCTCATGTCTTAATAGAGAATTATCCCCTTACTAAATTTTTAAAATAAATTTTACTGAAGATATAGAGCTTTTGTATAATTTACGGTTTTATTAATCCAATTGTCATTTTTAATCATTTTAAAATTCTAAATAATATTATTAAAATATTACAATATAAGTTTTTGATTTGATTAGGAGGATTCAATTTTGAAAAAAATCTTCCTTGCGTTAAAAATCCTTTTAAATAAAATTCTTAATTATATATATTTAATGAATAGTTCAAAATTATTTATTTCTAAAATAATGGAGGTATCAGGTATGCCTCGAATCGAGAAAAATGTCGGCTCGGATTAAGAGTAGGGTTTTCGAAAATTCATTGGGGTCGGGTTTCGAGTCGAAAAAAAGGCCGGGTTTCGGGTATCCGAGACATCCTTGGTAGGTATGTTTACTAATGTTTTATCCGTTTTGCTTTTTTTGTTTTTGTTTTTATGAACTTATTATCTAGTTAAACGGTACAGAAGAAGTAAAGATTAAAAATAGGGCGGTTTTATAAAAAAGTAAAAAGAAAAGTAAACAGAAAAAAAGTCGGCAAGTTAAAGCCTCTTTGTTGTCTAGCTAAACGTTGCAGAAAAAGGAACGATTAAAAAATAGGGCGGTCTTATAAAAAAAGTGAAAAAGAAAATGAAAGAAAAAAATGCCCCTTATCTGTCTGGCAATCTGGAATGTGGGAAACATAAAATAAAATTAATTCGCAACTTGCGAAAATAATTTAATTAATGCTTTTGAATTTTATTTTATTTTTGAAAGCTACAGCTTTATGTACATAAATTATTTTATAAATGAAAATTATTTCAAAAATTTTTTAACAAATTATTTCACCATATTTAAAAATTTATAAATAATTACAAATAAATAATAATATATAATTTAATTATATTTCGACTAAATAAAACGTTTCTTGCCAAAGTATGCAAGATTATAAATATATTAACTATAAATAATAATTTAATAAAATACACTTCAATAAAGCTTATAAAATATTTTTGGTTTATTTATCAGGATGATAATTAATTTGTGAAATGTGAAAAGTTCTTCAGTTCTACATATTTTAATATAAAAACATTCAAAAAATTTTTAATTTTGATAATAAAAAGATAACATTTATAAAGATAAAAATATTAATGTTATGAACATATTTACATTTCCTGAAATATACTTTAGTATATAGATTTATAAATACTACATAGTCTACTAAATTTAAATAAAACAAATTTATTGTAGAAAATATACCTAATAAAATTTAAATTTTTTCGATTTTTTCAAATTTGTATTTTTAAATAAATGTTAATAATAATAATTGTTTGAATATATTATAAAGGTATCAACTTTAACAATTTTCTACAAATTTTTTCTACAAATTTACAAATTTTAAAATGAAAAGTTTCTACATTGCTTAATCTACAAATATTACATTAAATAAATTTATCAAATTAAAATCCTCATTTATTTAACAAATTAAACGAACATTAAGTCGTTCAATATAAAATTAAATTTTCCATAATTTCTGTTAAAATTCATAATTTTATCATTCTTCATCAACAGGTTATGATCGGAATCAAATTTAAAATTATTTTTTATGTTAAAATTAAATTAAATTTGAGAGCCGAATGATCTATGGCCTTCTTTATTTCTTTAAAATGTCGTCGATATGATTATTATAATTTTATTATAAAAGACATTGAACACAATTACTGACAGTTTCTAGTTACTGTTCAGTTATGCTTCAAGCTATAAATTGTTAGATAAATTTTACATACCCTCATCAGACTTCAGATAAATGAGGTGGCATAATGACATTAATATAAAATTTTTACAAATAATTATTCATATAATTAAATAAAGCCAGCCTTACAGGCTATACATAACTTAAAAATCCATTATCAATTTAAAATAATCTATGTGCTGTGTTTTAGCATTATAATATTAATTTAAAGTTTTTAAAATTAAAAATTTTTATAACTAAATATTAAATATGAATTTAAAGTTTAATATTATATTATTTTCCAAAATTAAATTTATCACAATATATGAGACAAAGACAATTACAATAATATACTACATAGATTAGTTTTGGGGATAAAAAATATATAAAACTTCATTTAAATAATGTTATTAGAATTGTTAGTATATTCATTAAGAATGATTACTGAAGATGTAGCAGTACCTGATAAAGCAACAGAGAAAGCACCTTAAAAAGCATATTATATAAAAGCAAGAAACTCAAAATATTGATAATAACTTGAATAATGTTCAACATTATTAATTTTATTAAAAAATATAAATTATTTTAAAAAACTACATTATTGAAGAGAATCTGTCAAAGAGCCTTAACACTAAAAAGTGTATTGAACAATAATTTTTTTAAAAAATGATAAGTGTAAATTAATATTTTATTCTACATAATTTAATTGAATATATTATGATATATTTTTATAATTATCAACTATGCCAATGAAGATTTTTATATGTTCGACTCGTTATTAATCTACATATGATTTCCACAAATAATTTTAATAAAATTATTTAGAAAATTTATTGAAAATATTTAAAATTATTAATAATGATTATCATAACTATCCTATAAAAAATAATAACAAAGTATAGTTGAAATTGTTAAATTTATTATTATTAAAATAATATTTATACACGAAGGAGATTACAATTATTTGTTTGATTCCATATCGAATCATTTAATTGATAAATTTAATTAAAAATAATTATAAGTTAGTATACATATTATCAGGAGAAAGATTAATTTAATTTTCAATGTGAAATAGAAAAATCCTGCCTTTGTTTTATGTAGCGATGTTTCAAGTAAATTAGTACTTGGTAATTATAAATTAATAACATTTAAATAATTTTAAAAATATTAAAAAACAATTTTTTAGCTGCCTTTGAATATTTTAGTATTCTCGACACTATACTTAATTCAGAAATATGTAATTAATTTAAATAGTACTTTATTTAAATAGCTTTGAATTATTATTTGATGAAAATGAAAAAACACAATATTTGAATTATATTCAAGTAACAATAGATATTTCAGTAGTTTATGAAATTTTATTAACACTCAATCATAATAATAAAACTTTTTCATCGCAAGATATGTTGTTAAAATTTAGAATACTGTATTGTAATTTATATTCAAATTGATTCTTAGTGAATATATGACCACACACATAAAAGAATAGTTAGAAAGAGAGATAATTTAATTTTAACGTTTAATAATATACTTTATAGAAAATAACATAAAAAATTCGCAAAAAAATTCGCATATTAATGTACAATAAAAATAGAGGTTATGAACTTGCATAATTATACTTTAGATACAATTTATTTAATTTTAATATAATAATATTAATTGTTCGCATATATTATAAAGGTATCAACTTTAACAATTTTCTACAAATTTTTTCTACAAATCTACAAATTTTAAAATGAAGTTTCTAAACTGCTGAATCGACAATATTACAATAAATAAAGTTATCAAATTAAAACTCATTTAATTAACTTAAACGAACATTATGTCGTTCAATTGAAATTTAAATTTTCTATAAATTCTGTTAAAATTCATAATTTTATCATTCTTCATCAACAGGTTATGATCGGAATCAAAGTTAAGATTATTTTTTATTATAAAATTAAATTAAATTCGAGGTCCGAAAATGTTAGAACTAATTTTCAAAATATCAACAAATTTTTAACTAATTATTTTTATAACTAGCTAGTGCTTGAAATAAATAAAAACACATCAAGAATTTATACATCAAATATAATTTCTAAAGCATTTTTTAGTTTAGTTAATAAACTAATAATAATAGGTTGGATATAAAAATGTAAAATTTTCTTCGTTTTTCTACATATTTTAATAAAAATTTTAATTTTGAAAATTTTGCTTCGAAAATATATTTAGAATATTAAAAAATCTGATGCCTGTTTTGTTGAATAACATTTTTAATTTAAACATAAATTCATTACTTGATTTTTTAGATTTTTAGAGGAATTTAATGTAAAGCCGATCGTCACAAATTGTTTTGAATAATAATTCAGAACTTATTAAAAAATATTTAATTATTTAAATATAAATATTTTACATATAAATTAACTTTAGTAGACGAAGAAAGGCGACACAAAAAATTTGTTTATAAAAATTATTAATATAAATACTGATTAAATTTAGAAGTAAATATTTAATAATAACGTTTAAAATAATTTTAAAAAATAGTTTAACAAACAACTTTTCATCAACCTTCGAATGTTTTATATGTTCGACTTGTGTACTTAATTTAAATATAATTGAATTATTATAGATGAAAATGAAAAAACATACTATTTCAATTATTCTTCAAGTAACAATAGAATCGACTATTTCAGTAGTTTATGAAATTTATAATTTCATCCAAGCATGATAATAAAACTATTTCATCACAAGATATGTTTTTAAAATTTAGAATACTGATTGTATATTTATTAATATTTAAAATATTTATACATGATGGAGATTATAATTGATTATTATATAATACCCTACTATATACCCAACTACCTATATATACGAGGCGGATACTGAACATTTGTACATTTTTTAAATTTAAATTACCTATTATATAAGAAAACTACGAAAAAATTATTGAATTTTGCAAAAATATAATTAATAGACAACGAAATACATACAAGCTTCAAAGAATCTTGAGAATGCTTCAAAAGATCTTCATAATTTCAAGCAA